CCCTGATCGCCAGGTTCACCTTTCGATCCAGGTTGTCCATTGATACCGGGGAACGAATCGCCCGGCGGTCCTCTTGCACCAGGCGGACCCATTTTTCCAGGTCTACCATGCTTCGCTCTGCTGCCTCGAAGACCCATCTCGCCCTTTTCGCCAGCTACTCCTTGCTGCCCTTGTGGGCCTGGATAACCTGGTTCTCCATTAGGCCCAGCTAAGCCAGGTAGTCCAGAGTCACCACGCTGACCCTTCAATCCAGGTTGACCAGGCATTGGATACGCAAAGAGATATTCACCAGGTTCGCCTTTTGGACCATCGGATCCTGCTATACCTGCTGAGCCAACAGCTCCCTAGTTGTTATAATTTAAATGTCTTACGCAATACAGTGTCACCATTTCTTACCGGAAGTCCATCTCGACCAGGCATACCTGGTTTACCTGGAAAGCCTTTAGGTCCTGGAGATCCTGGGAAGCCTTCTAAACCTGGGTTTCCCTGATATCCCATTTCAGCCGCATCTCCTGGTTCGCCCTTAGGACCAGGTGCACCTGGTGGGCAACGGCCACAATCATCTCCACGAGGTCCTCGATCGCCCTTCATTCCTGGTCTGCCTGGTATGCCAGTACGTCCAGGATCTCCAGGAGGTCCAGGATATCCTCGCTGTCCTGCCGGTCCAGTCTTGTCAATTCCATATCCAGGCATTCCTTTTGGTCCTTGAAACAGAAACTAATAAAAGAAGATTGCAACGTTATGAAATGTCACCTGGTTCTCCGTGGTCGCCTCTTTCACCTGGTAAGCCAGGTATTCCGTCTCTTCCCTGGTACCCGTCTGGACCAGGTGGGCCGACGATATTCTCGCCTTGTTCCCCCTGTTCACCTTTTTGGCCTTGAGGACCAGTCAGTCCAGGATAACCTTGTTCACCGCGTTGGCCAGGGATTCCTTTTAAAAAAAATATGGATTAGAAGTAGAACCAAGATAACTAACATCAACTCTCACCGTCGTCGCCACGTTGGCCTTTTTCAGAATAACCAGGCGACCCTGGTAAGCCATCTGTACCCTGAGGTCCAGGAGGACCAGGTGGACCACGAGTACCAGTGTAACCGGGTAATCCGTCTCTACCACGTTGACCTTTTGGTCCTGGAAGACCATCGTAACCTTGGGGTCCA